ATTGTAATTTTTAAAACTGCCCTTTCAGAGTATTTTTTCTTACCATACCATGTGACTCACTGAGTATAATTTTCCTGAATGATATATTTTGATTAACTTGATGATACTGCCTATAAATAAAACAATGTAACATCACTTAAACCTTGGCAGAATTAATTGATAAAATTGCTCCTTCTATCTAAAAGATCTCCACAGTAATTACTGAAAAGAACTATGCAAGTCTTACTTTAGCAAGAACTAAATGAAGATGCTTATACAGCAGATTTTGAATTATATGTTTAATGTCAATGTCATTACCTATTTTAATTTTTGAAGTTAACAATCTGACATGGCATTTTTTAACAGCTTAACAGATAACAGCTTTAACAGATACAATTCACATATCTTACAATTTACTGATTTAAAGTGTACAAGTCAATGGTTTTTTAGTGGAATTGCTGGATCTTATGGTAACCGTGTGTTTAACAACTTGAGAGACAAACAAACTTTTCCAAAAAGGTTGCACTATTTTCTTTTTCCCCTCAACAATGTGGGAGGGCTCAACTTTCTCCACCTCTTTGCCAACTCTTGTTACTTATCTTTTTAATTGTAGCCATCCTAGTGGGTATGATGTGGTATCTCATTGTAGTTTTGATGACATAATATTTTAAGTAACATTTTTTATTTCTTAATGTGAAAAATTAACCATTAAAAAATACTAGCATCCATAATTTTGATATATTTGATCTAATTTTAGAACTAAATGTTACATATTGACATGTTAAGTATTTCAATTTCTTGCAGCTCTCCTACATTTAACATTTTATTGATCAGTTTAACTATTCATTCGTCTCCTTTTTGTAAGACATAGTTGTGATTTGTTTCAAGTTTAATTAGGAAGAATCAACTGAGGTAACATAATTTCACACTACTTGTAAATGTTTGCTCAAAGACAAGGCCTGCTTGTGGGAAGTTTTTGTTTTATATTGTTTTGTTTTAAACTTTATTACTAGAATTACCTTTTTTT